TCAGAAAGTAATTGTGGGGGTTGGGGGATTGATTGGAAAAAGATACAAAGAAACTTTCTGGGGTGATAAAAAATGTTCTGTATCTTGTGTGGGGCAGTGGCTACACAGGTTGTACATTTACCAAAAATCATGCACCAAACATTTAAGATCTGTATTTTATGTTCACCTCTCAATTAAAGAATTAAACGCCGTTATTTTTTAAAAGAGTAGAAAATGAGAAGGGTAATTATAAATAGGGAACAAAGGTAGGAACTAACAGATATTTTCCTGAATGGAGACCTCTACACCATTAAGTCCAAACAGGATCAGCAATTTTATTTAACACTTTTATAAGTGATTTGGAAGATCTTCAAGTGTGTAGATGCCACTGATCTGTTTCCGGTGGGGCCAAGCCAAAAATACAACACTGTCTCTAGAGTAAGGCAAGTTTTTATTTTTTATTTATTTTGAGATGGAGTCTCACCCTGTCACCCAGGCTGGAGTACAGTGGCGTGATCTCGCCTCACTGCAACCTTTGCCTGCTGGGTTCAAGTGATTCTCCTGCCTTAGTCTCCTGAGTAGCTGGGACTACAGGCGTGCACCACCATGCCCAGCTAATTTTTTAATTTTTTTAGTAGAGATGGGGCTTTACCATATTTGCTAGGCTGGTCTTGAACTCCTGACCTCATGATCCACCTGACTTGGCCTCCCAAAGTGCTAGGATTACAGGCGTGAGCCACTGTGCCCCGGAGGCAAATTTTTAAATTTCAGGTCATGATCCATTGGCAGGTGGTGAGATCAACTTAGTAAGTCAAGACGTGAATATTTTTCTTTTAATAAAACAGATGAGACTAAACTAGAAAATATCAGAATGCATGTAATAAGAGTGAAATATTGTTCTGTGAAATTTTTGTCTGAAATGCATTGGATTTTTTTTTTTTTTTTTTTTGAGACAGAGTTTTGCTCTTGTTGCCCAGGCTGGAGTGCAATGGTGTGATCTCCGCTCACTCACCACAACCTCTGCCTCCTGGGTTCAAGCAATTCTCCTGTCTCAGCCTCCTGAGTAGCTGGGACTGCAGGCGCCCGCCACTGTGTCTGGCTAATTTATGGTATTTTTAGTAAACTCGGGTTTCACCCTGTTGGCCAGGCTGGTCTCGAACTCCTGACCTCAGATGATCCGCCCGCCTTGGCCTCCCAAAGTTCTGGGATGACAGGCATGAGCCACCACACTCGGCCTGATTGACTTCTTTCTAAGTGGCTTAATTTTTTTTGTTTTTTTTCTTTTTTAAGAGAGCAATGGTTACTCAGGAGTATAGGAGAGAGAGTAGTGGTCACTTATTGCTATAGCCCAACCAAGCCTTGGCTGCCCTATGCTTAAATATACTTAAGATGTGTGTAAAGACACACGTGTGTGTATTGAGACATGATGTAAAATGCATTTCTTACTGTGAGTTGAGATAAAAATTTTTGAGGTTTCATAAGCAGGTAAAAAGTGGTATCTGAGCAAGCAAGTTGTGGGGATGAATAGGGGAGCTTGGAGCTCTAAATTCTAGCACAGGAAGGGCCCAGGAGTTACTATAGATAGTAAGAGTATAGACTCATTCAGCACACAGTGTAAGGCCACCAAGAAGCTGAGTCCCAATAGGAAAGAAAAGAAAGATCCCATCTTTCTCTTGTACAAAATTATGTTCTTTCCCCACTTAGAAGAGACAAAACAGCAGGGATGGCTACAAAATGGCAGGATTACCCAGTCAGTGCAGCTGCTCAGTGCCACACTGCACTACTCCAGAGGGTGCTCTCACACAGACTGCAATGTGAGTAGCTCCCCCTGGAGTTGAGCGGTGCACAACCCAAACAACCCTACCAGGCAACCATAAGTATAGTGATTAAGAGCACAAGCTTTGGAGTCCAACAAACCGGGGGGCTTGTCTCAGACTGAATCCCAGACTATATAACCTGGGGCAGGTTATTTAGCCTCCTTGAACCTCAGTTTTCCAAACAGAATATGTTATACATCCCTAGGCTCTATTTCAGTGTCTGGCATTGAATAACAATAAATACGTGTTAAATGAATTGAGCTAATACTAGTACCTGCCTATAAGGTGGTGGTGAAGAGCAAAGAAATTGACATATGAAAGGTTTTTAATATCTACAAAAGATGACAGGCTGAAATAGTAACATTCTCCAGGATGGAAAGATACATGCCAGGTAGGAATTGTTTGTTCAAATTGCTATTTTTTAAAAGCCATAAGCTATGGAGAGAACAACAGATTTTTTTTTTTAATCCGGATACGGTGGAACTCTGGTAGGATGTGAACAGTTCTTGAAGCTTGAGAATACATTTGGAACAAATAAAAAGTAGGAAATGCATACATATTATTTACAGTTGTAGGGCAGGTAGGGGCAAAATGTGTTGATAAACTCAAAGAATTTTAAGAATGATATTGTCATGAGCCATGAGCCATGGAAGCTGCAGGGTTTGGGCTCACTCCTGCCATCGGGTGAGGGGTGTCAGCGGAAGGGGGTGTGTGTCCTTTCCTCTCCCAGTGTTTGTTTCCTAGTGGAACCGTGGTTTTGACGCAGTCATGACAACTCTTCATCCTTATTAAAGTCACACAATGAAGCAGGTCGCCCAAGATTGAAAGCACGTTTCCAGGGCGGACTCCGGTTCCTGCCTTTGGCCAGCAAAAGTACATTCTGGCAGGGAGGGATCTCTGAGCCCCGAAGTGAGGTCATGCCAGTTAGCAGTTAGAAAAGGAGGCATTTCTCACACTTGCTAATGAGTTTGACGCTTGTGAAATATAAACAGGAAGTGGGAGCTCTCCAAGGCGACCTGAAGGAAATACACTCCCAGTTTGGTCAACTTGTGAATGCCAGTTCTCTAGGTCGTCAAGGACACTGCCAGTTAAGACTGACTCCCTAACTGCACCCGAGGCTACTCTTCACCCAGTCTCAGCAGTGACCCCATTTTTTTTTTTTTCAATCCTTCCCACTGCCAGGTCACTCAGCAGCGCGGTGACTGACCCAAAGCGCAGTGGGAAAGGCTTACAGTCATCTCTCAACTCCCCGAACTTGCAGGGCAGGGGAGCGCAGAGGTCAGTGAAATCCCCAGCCAGGCCTTATTTTAGTCATGAGTTTCCACTGGCTCCCTCCTCTGACTGTATCAGCGCTGCTCACAACGCGGGATTGGAGTTTCAGCTGTTTGCCCTGCTCCAGGCTGAGTGAGAAGGTCACAGAGCCCGGACTTTTCCGGGGGAGGTGGGTGGGGCCCTCCGGCAGCCTAAGTGAGATTGCAGAGATCTGGGGCCGTTGGAGGAGGTCTTTCCGCCCCTGGCTCGGGACTTTGGGTTAGCTTCTCCCCCGCTTCTCTACCTAGGCATCTTGGTTAGAATTGAATTAAATTAAAAACACAAAGCAACACAAGTTCTCATTTTTTTTTCCCTCTGTCAGCCAGTGGCCTCGATACAATTTTCCCAGGGCTGCCTTTCCTTTATTGCTCAATTTATCCTCTTCCTAGAGGTTCTGTAAGTTCAAGGGCAGGATCCGTGTCGGATTCATCAACAAGCACAGCGCCTAGCACAGAGTAGGGGGCTCAACAAATATGTGTCGACTGCATGATTGCTAAGATTTCACTGTGTAACAGGCGGTTTTATTTCTTGTCTCTCTCATCCCTCCTGCCCTGGGTGCAGACCGCAAACAGCGCCGCCGAAGTTCTCAACAGGCAGGGAGAGGGCCGATCCGGGTTGGCACACCACGTCCCCGGGGTCTCAGTTCCTGGGTCAACCCAGAGGGGCTCGCGGTCCGCGGCGCTGCGACCTGAGCCCCGGCCACGTGAAGCGTCACGCC